GCCGCTGGATTCCTGTTGTTATCTTCTCCAAATGATTTCCTCCAAACATCCATAACAAGTCAAGAAATGCAAAAATACAGCAAGCTTCTTTCACTGCTTAGCTATTCAAGTCTTGGATAGCAACTAACAGAGCTGTTAGTTCTTAAAGGAAGTACCTACTTCACCCGCTATAGCATAACAAGACTTACCACCAAATTTCTTTGAATTCATTCTTGCTGCTGTCCGGTTTTCAAATCCATCCAAGAAAGGTGAAATCGTCTTCGGACACATTCAGATTTCATCGAGGCCACCACCCACGCCCAACCAATTTCCACACAGCCATCTCTGGGTCTAGCGCCAGACAGCAACCTCAAGAATTATTAAAGTACCGGATTCCTTTTACTATACCTCCTCCAAACAGCGTTCTTGCAACAAGTCCAGGTTGCAGTTTCTTGTCACTCCCTCTCGGTTCGTTCGAATTCGCCCACAGATCTCCTCAGCCGAGGGAAGTCTCCCGATCTCTTATTTGCTGTTTGCCGCACGCAGGAGCCCAAAAAAAAAAAATTCTCTCACTCGATCTCTCTACGGCTCGCGATCAATCGCCAGCTCCTCACGCACGCAAGGAAGCCCGCTCGCCATCCCTGTTCTCTAGACCTCACGCACATCGCTGAACGCCAGCAGGCTCTCTTCTTCTTCTAAGATGCCTCCTCGACGCATGTTGCAAGAAACCGAAATAGAAGATCTTCAAGGAGAAATTATTCGACTCAAACAACGCATGTCAAGGCTCGAACAGAGGAAAAGCATAGAATCCTTACCAACCGATGATGATGACGACGAGGGCATCTTAGATGATCAGATCCATTCTTCCTACAACAATGTGTTTGGAGGACCACCTCGTCAATCTTCCACCCCACCCTTGATCGAGTCCAGCTTCGACGGATTTGAAGACTTGTTGCAAAAATCATCGTCTTTGCCTCTCTACGATGATCCTGTTTATGACGTGTATGATGACGACATGTTTGACGGAATTCTTGACTTTGATCAACCCGCATATGATGGCGACGAGAGCAAGAAGGATGCCCAATCGGAGTTATTCATGCATATCATTCATGATAAGGCAATGAATGCTCTCTCCCTCATTGATAATGGAATTGATATGAACAAATTTGACCACAACAACGACCTTGGTACATTTACACATTCCGACACCAAATTCTTAGATGTAATCTCTGTGGATACTGATATGTGCATAGTTGATCCATTTTGCGTCAAGTTCAATTCAACTCGTGAAGAGTGCCGTTTGAATGAGCTACTAAAGATACCAAAAGAGTTTGACAGCTATCTCATTTTTCATCGTCTCCAGGTTATGTGGAAGTCTCTCCAAAATGGGACGAATAACACCGGGTGGAAATATCCAAACCGGTTTAGCCAACCAAACCCACCGCCTTGTGGCCAACCAGACATCTTCCTATGGGCCTGAAGTTCCTCCTACCCCGGTAGTATGACGCCGAAGCTGAGCCATTGATCATGTTGAACTTCAAAGCCATTTAATTTCATATGATATTTTATATGGCTATATAGGTGTTATGCTTTCTTTTGTTTGTGTAGCCTAGTATGTTGCTTCTTTTAGCTATAAATACATAGCCAACATTTGTAATAGGCATATTTGAGATGAATAATATTTGAGTAGTTTTTACACTGCTTTTGGGTTTCTGTATCCTGAAGGATTTCAGGTGGTGATCCCTCCCCCAAGAAGGAGTTCTTGGTCCCGTCACCGGATCCTCGACGTGGATTCGTCGAGACCCCTACCTGGCCGGTGTCAGATAATTTGTATTATTTGATAAAAGGAAAACATAAAATAACAAGATACAATTGATCATCTATTTTAGAGGAGGATCAATCTCCCAAATCTCTAGACGCTGCTAGAGCCCAAAGGAAAATCTAAATATAAGAGATCTCATATTTCAACCAACTCAAGATGCACTAACCATAAGAAAACAAAGTATTTAATGCATACAAATCAAAAGGAAATCCCTAAACAGCCCCTACATTCAAATTCCCTCCTAAACTTTCTCAAAAATCCTTCCGAAATCAGCTCTCGTGGACTTGTGGCTCACGCGGCCTGTACAAGAGGCAGAACTCCACCCTTTTGCGTGCTGGTTCAATACATTAGGCCGGTTGGACCGATCCAATGAACCGGTCTAACAATACTCCCCTCCAAAATATCCACCTTGTCATCAAGGTGGAAAGACGACACCCTCCATTCCTTATTGATCGCAAACAGTAAGAACCTAAAGAGTTCGGTCCTTACACCTGTGCCCCAGCGTATATCTCTCATCACATCTAAAACATATCTCATCGCCCTCTTCTCCTCTAATTCTGTTTCTGTGAGCTTCTTGAAGTTTTCCCCTAGTCTTTCTCCGGTAATCTTCTCCTTTGAAGTCTCGCTAAGAATACCCAGTGTCAGCTCCTTGGGTGCTAAAAAGGTGGTGGTCCTCCTGTTTGAACCTCATGAGCTACTGCCTCCCATCTCACTCTTCAGATGCCTCTGATCTTCCACCAATTGAGCTAGCTCCATGGCATCTCCCAAGTCATGAGACCTCATTACTCTAACCGCTACCCGGATCAATGATGTCAGTCCCTTCATGAAATTTCCCTCTAGCACTGTCTCAGGAAGGTGGTCCAATCGGCTAGCAAGGTATTCGAATTTTTCCCGATATTCTATCACGAAACCCTCCTGTGTCAAGGCGAAGAACTGCCTGTAGAAGTATCCTCCTCTGCCAATTCGGAAACGTTCTACCAAACAATCTTTGAACTCTCTCCAACTCCGTATGGGTCGTCGCATGTCCCTCCACTGATACCAAGACAAAGCCTTCCCTTCCAAACATAGGCTCGCCGCCAGCAGTCTCTCCTCCTATGTCAACCCATTGACGGCAAAATATCTTTCTACCTTGTAGATCCACCCGTGCGCATCCTCCCCTCAAAGATTGACATCTTCAGTTTCCTCACCCTCGGGTCACACCCGTTTCCCCTAAATCCTCCATAACCCCTCATTCCAAGAGGGTGCTCCCCAATTGTCACTATCTTCCTTCCGACGATCATATTCAAACCCTTTATCAAAATCCCCTCTTCTTCCTTCAAAATCAGCACCCCGCGATCTAAATCATCCCCTCTCCTTACACATTCAGCACCCCTTATTGCATAGCCAATGCTCATCTCCTCCCTAAAAAGTGGTTCTCGAGGAGGCATTCCATATTCTCCTTCCAGGATCTCCACTTATGGATTTCCCCTTCCCCTAAACATGTTAGGGTTCTCATCTCTTCCATGGTTGTCGGTAGTTTCCTTTGCTTCCGATGTCACCGGTTTGATTTTGGCTTCAATCGATTTCTTCAACATGTCTTCCACCACGGCGAACTTTCCTCCATCCTTTCATTGACGGATGCAATTTGATTTTGAAAATCAGCAATCTTCTCCCCAAAATTTGCTTTGAGTTGCGCAAGTTCTCTCTCCAAAACTTCTATTTTCATTTCAGTCATTGGTTCCCCTTCGATCAACGTGCTCTAATATCAATTTGATAGGAAACACTTGTAGATCTCGAGTATTTCCTATCAATCTTCAGAAAACAACGAGCTTTCTCTACCAAAATCCACACAAAACAACAAAAACAGTAGATAATTTGTATTATTTGATAAAAGGGAAACGGAAATTAACAAGATACAATTGATCCTCTATTCAAGAGGAGGATCTATCTCTCCCAAATCTCTAGACACCGCTAGAGCCCAAAGGAACACCTAAATATAAGAGATCAAATTTCAACCAAATTCAAGATGTTCTAACCCTAAGAAAACAAAGTATTTAATGCATACAAATCAAAAGGAAATCTCTAAACATTCCCAACATTCAAATTCCCTCCTAAACTTTCTCAAAAATCCTTCTGAAATCAGCTCCTGTGAACTTGCAGCTTGCGCTGCCTGTACAGGAGGCAGAACTCCTCCGTCCTTTTGCATGCTGGTTCAGTCCCATCGAACCGGTCCAATGGACCGGTCTAACACGGCTCTTGTGGCAGCTGTATTATAAGATAAGAGAACTTAAGATACCAAAATGATAAAGAAAGTAGAAACTTAATAGTTTCCTTTTACCATCATTGAGACAATTGCCAATGCATCTTTATTTATTGCCCATGATAAAGTAAAATGTTATGAACTACACACAATGATTTGCAAGTATGCTATTTTCTAGTTTTAAATTATTATGGTTTACAAATATAATTAACCACTGAGTTTTTAATTCATCATTTAGTTGATCATTATTTTCAAAAACATCTCCTTAAGCTTAAATGGTGAAAAAATAGAGTTCATGTACAACAAAAGTAATTTTTTTGGATTTAGGTATCATAATCATCATTTGTATAATATATGTAAATAAAATTTGACGGCATAGTTAGCTCTTCTAAATTAAAAGATAAAGTGAATTTCAATCTGATTGACTATTCCCATCTTGGTATTCAAAATTTTTGGGCCAGGTTGTGAAAATTATAGAATAATAATAGCATATTGAATAAACACCAACTTCCAATGTATTAAATTTCGTGCTATAACAGCCCATATTCACAATTTTGCTTATTCCCCTTATTGACAAGATTGGTAGTTCAGATAAAGATACAGGATGCAAGTTCCAGCATGTCCTCTTCTATTACTAAGTGGTATAAGACACATGAACCTACCTTAGTCGTTTTTTTCTTATTGTAATGCACCAAAATAAAAAACTTGAACCTAAAATAGTTAAGTGGTATAAAACACATGAATCTACAGCAGAAGTCATTGTAAATACCAAGAAATATCAAATAAAAACTAAAAGAATCTACACAAAAGAAGTCATCGTTAATAATCAGTAACATCAAATAAATACAATAGAATCTACACAAATGATAGATTCTTACCACTCGATTAAGGGAAAAAAAAAGAGTATACATAGAATGATACGTACAGTATTAGGAACTTCAATTTCTAAATCAGTCTTACCTCTCGATTAAGGGCCTTAAAAATGGAACTGCTTTCTCGATGCCTTCTATATTTGCAAGAGATTGTACAAAGGCTATAGGGACCATGAAGAAGAATATCAGAAAGAATAATGCGACTGCTATTATCAACCTTCTAACGGTAAGGTGGACAAAAGGGACAGCTAGGTTATTCCAGTAAACATCACGAGGTTCGGGAGCCCACTCAGCCAACCAAATTGTTGGGTTTCTAGTTTGCTGCGTTTGAGCACACACAGCTGCTCCCCATCGTGTTCGAAATGAGACAAATGCAGCAGGAATAATGGAATTTTGTCCCTTAATCCTGTCTCGTTCTTCCACCTCCTGAAAATATCATCAACCATCAAAATTTAGTGAATGTAACGGTATTTAGAGAGAAAATGATCACATAGCCTCCAAGATCATCTCAATGTGATGTTTCAGAAAAAGGAGTAAAAGTAACAATATGCAGCAGCAAGGCAACCACCAGCCTAAACATTATGAACTACAGAACTTCCATGGATGAGATCGAAAAAGACAACAATTACTTGATCGAAAAGCTAACCATGGATGTGAAACAAAAGCTTGGTTCAGTTCGATATAAGAAATAAGAAATATCCAGCCAAACGGCAAAAATTAAATGAACAATCACTGGAATTTTCTTTTCAAGTCGATGCAAATATAGTAATGTGGAAAAAGCAAAATAAACAGCAAACTATACATCAAATAATGCAGTATAAATTCATCAGCTAATGTTGAAACAATATGAGCTGTTGACACATGTTTATTATAGAGAAAAACATTATAAGCCCTCAATGGCAGGATTTATTATTCTATGCGGAGTCCGGATGGAATCCGAAGACCAATAAAAATGCGCCACGTCACCTCAAAAATGTACCGCGCTCGGTACCGCTCGGTACCAAGCTTGGTACCTAAGCGTAACCGGACGGGAGAACCATCTGGTGTCCACACTGAATAATAGCTCCAAGCGCAGGCCATCACATTGCACACATTTCACAATGAACTACTTACTTCTTTAGATAGCTTTGCAATCTCTGTCGTGTAATAGTCAATTGCATCCACCTTCTCACCACATAAGCCTAGAAAACCGGTCTGGTAAAAGAATTTCAGAGACGTAAGCTTAAGAGTCAAGCGACATGGATAAGAATAAAGTTTGCTATCACAAATAAGAAAAGGAAAAGGTCTTTACTGGAATTAACCTTACGGATTGGTCTTTTAGATGGATTTCTTTCATGTCTCAATTGATAGAAGTCCAACCAGTTCTTCATGTTCTTCTTCTTTTTAACAACCTTAGAAAGATTGTTGGCATCGTAGACAATCTACAAAAAATTAAAAAATAAAAATTGAAATCTCAAAGAAAGAGAGCTATGGTCATATTGTTCTGAAGCCTCCAGAATAACAAGGACAAAAGTTCAGCACAAAAAAATGATTCCCCATAGAAAGTGTAAAGACTCAAAAAATTATTTATTTAATTAAAAACTATTAAAATTAAAATTATTAGTTAGTTAAAATGTCATGAATAATTTAAAGGCTTGATGGAGCTGTCAAGATCAAATTGATTTAAAAAGGGTAAATTACTTGAAATAATTAAATGATAATTGAAGAAAGATAAATATATAATTATTTCGAGGAGAAACTTTCTAGTTTATGATTTAATGCTCTTTATAATAAAAATGCTATGTTATACTGGTAATAATATAAAAAAATTAACCGATCTAAGGAGTTTTTTACACCTTTCTGAAGACAAAGAAGGGCTGATTGAGATGGCAGAGCAAAAGAGTGAGCGAGCAAGTAGGGGAGCGAGGGCAGGCAAGCAAGAGAGAGAGCTAGAAACCTTTGTATTCTTTTTTTCTTTTTCTTTTTCTTTTTCTTCCATAAAATAAATTGGAGCTCTAAATATAGCCATTAAGGTCTTATTTATAGCACAAAAAAGGCCCAAAATAAGAAATTCCCCAAAATCTTCAAAATTCAATTAAAAAATACTAGTTACAGCTATCTCAGCACTTAAACAGTAGCTATCAACTTTAGTCTTCATAATTTCCATATGAACTAATTCATTAAAGGAAAACAAGAGGCAGTTAAGTAATTTCTGCAACAATCAATAACAAATAAGGCTCCCAAAATGATAGCAATTTGTAGCAAAAAGGAGCTTGATAACACAAAAATAGCACAGACCAGGGAAGGGTGGTGACTGGGTTTAGCAATCAATGGAACTGTGAAAATCATAGCAACAACCACGACTAAGATGAATAAGAAAAGTAAACCATGGGAATAAAATCTTGAAGAGTAGAAAACCAAGAATGCTTATGATGATGATTGAATTAAGCCCCCTACAATAGTTAACCAAGCCTTAAGAGAAAAACAATTTATTGGAGAACACAACTCATTCTCGATTGGATCAACATCATAGCAAGTTTTAGCATAAATTGAAAAGGAAAGGCAAAGCAAATTAAAATGTAATGCAATTTAAAGATCACTTCTGATGAATATACACTATCAAATTCCCTCACACCCCACTATATATATACATGTATACATGTATATATATATATATATACGTATGTATGTATATATTCTTCATAAATGAGAAAGGCGCCACCAAAAAACTGTATTTCGCTTTGAAAATTTTAAATTCATTAAAACTATGCAAAATCAAAAAAAAAATTATTAGATTGATAAAGAGTTGTAGTTGCTTGGAAAAGAGTTCAACATGTTGTGAAAAAGCAAAGGGAATCAATCTAAATTTGCCTATTAAAATACTCCCTTATAGCCATGCATCTAGGCCTCTAGGATCATTAATACTTCCTTGGTAGGCTTAATGGTATGTTGGGGACCCTGGAATAAGTATTTCAACAATTCATGGCCTTACAACAACAAAGAAATATCCATTTATAACTGAAAACAAAATTATTTTCCCTTATATTAATATCCATTTATAACTAAAAACATTTCTCATAAAGTCAGAGGTCTTTCCAAGGGTTTAAAATCAAGCAAGTGAAAATCACAATACATTGGGTATGTAACAAACCGGTTGGGTGCAGCCAGCCCTCCTAATAAAGTCGCGACCCCAAAATGGGGTCAGTTTTGCTAACAAAACTGAGGGTGGACGACTGGGGCGGAACCAAACGCATGCGTAGGAGGTTTCAGAGATTTTGATTCGCCATTTTTAGCAATCCATCATTTTGGGAGATAAGAATCAACAACTCCTATTCATTCATTTCACCAAAGAAGTAGAGATTAGGAAGAAATGAGAGGAACAACCAGGAGAAAGAAGGAAAAAATGTTTGTCTTTCAATTTTGTATAAATTGTTTCATAATTCTTTATCTAATTAATGGAAATATTAAATTGACGATAAGGAAGATATTTGTAAGCGAGAAGAAGAGATTTGCGAGAGAGAAAGATGAAGATTTTGGGATTTGAAAAATCCCCTCGTTGTAAGTAAAATTCCTTTCAGATAAATTTTCTTAGATTTATTATTAAACTATTTTTTCATGAAAATTATATTGTTTAATTTTAGGAATTTTAGACGAAAAGAAAGCAAGTTGTAGGAGTTGAGTCCTTTAAGAATTCAACAAAAAAGGAAATCTTGTGAGGTAAGTTTTGTAGAAGAAATCAAATGCCTATTGATATATTTAATTGATATTTAATATTAATTAAATTGTTATATTCTTGTGAATAGTTAAAGGTTTTCAAAACTGAACGAATATTAGAAGAGGAAAATAAAGTGGGTAATTATAGTTATTTGAAATTTTATTATTTCAATTTCATTTTCATATTGAAAGAAAGATTTATATAATTGTTTTGTTTATTTTGAGGGTATTATGAATAAAGCTATGTAAACATCAAATATTCAGTAAGCCTTGAATCACCCAGGATGGAGACAGGCTATTAAAGAAGAAATTAAGACCTTGGAGAAAAATCAAAGATGGGTAATTACAAATCTCCCATCAGGAAAGAAAGTTGTGACCTACAAATGGGTGTTAACCGTAAAGAATAAGGAGGATGGTAGTGTTGAGAGACTGAAAGCTAAATTGGTTGCAAGAGGATTCACACAGTCTTATGGAATAAACTAGTAGGACGCTGTTCCTCCTGTTGCAAAGCTCAACACCATCAGGATTCTTCTTTTCTTAGTAGCAAATTTAGATTGGCCCCTACATCAACTAGATATCAAGAATGCATTCTTGAATGAGAACCTAAAAGAAGAAGTCTACATGGAGATTCCAATGGGGATTCAGATGTCTTATTGAAGGGACAGTGTGTAAACTATTGAAACCCTTGTATGGATTAAAGCAGTCTCCTAAAACATGATTTGGAAGATTCTCAAAGTATGTAAAAGGCCATGATTTTAGACAATGCTAGACAGATCATATCTTATTTGTGAAGCAGACATAAAGAAATAAGATAGCAGTGTTGATTATATATGTGGATAACATTATCTTACTAGAAATGATATAGAGGAAATAAAGAAGATCAAATAAGCTCTATCCAAGGACTTTGAAGTTAAAGATCTAAGATAACTTAGATACTTCCTTTATATGGAGGAAGCTCAATCAAGCAAAGGTATATTTATTTACCGATGCAAGTATACCTTAGACCTACTGAAGGAGACTAGCCTACTAGGATCACTTAGATACAGGCATACTAGCCAGTACACCTATGGATCCTAAGAAAAAACTTGGGATAGAAAAAAGGAGATTCCTGTAGATAAAGAAAGATATCAACATCTCGTAGGAAAGCTTATATACCTCTGCCACACCCGCCCAACTATTGGGTTGGTTGTGGGCATAGTGAGCCAATATATGAGTAATCCTATGAAGGAACACATATAAGCAATATATCAAATCTTGAGATATCTCAAGAACACTATTGGAAAAGGGCTATTATTCTAGAAAAATAAAGATAGAAAATTAATCCTTTATTCTGATACAGATTGGGCAGGAAGCCAGGTTGACAGTCGATTGACCACATGATATTGTTCATTTGTGTGTGAGAACCTAGTGACATGGAAGAGCAAGAAATAATCTATTGTTTCAAGAAGCCTTGAGGAATCTGAACTGAGAGCATTAACAATTACGATTTGTGAAGGTATTTGGATAATACAAGTATTTATTGAACTGAGAATAAAGATTGAAGGCACAATAAAGTTGAAATGTGACAATCAAGCCGCAATCAGTATGGCCAAGGATCAAGTACATCACGACAAAATAAAATATAATACCATTGCTATGCATTTTATATCTGAGAAAATAAAGAACTCATAAATTGTGGTATATACCCCAACTCATGAACTTGTCGATGTTCTGACAAATGCACTATCGGGCTCTTACTTGATAAATTTGTTTGCAGGTTAGGATTGTACAACCAGTACAACCCAACTTGAGGGGGTGTTGAATCACACAGCAAGAAGGGGGCCCACGGCTTTGACAGGTCAGTTGTACGTGGGCTACAACCATGGGCTGCAGTTGGAGATTTCCTCTTTTGACACCAACATCCGTAGGATTGATTCCAAAATCCATGGAATATAATTATTATAATTAATTAGATTAAATGACTTTCCTCTTTTATTTATTATAATTAATTAAAATAATGTCTTTCTTTTCTGTTTATTCTCCAAGAGTGTATATATATGTAATGATTCCAAGGAATAAAATTTAAATTCAATTTTCCCTAAATAACTTCTTCATATATAATCAGGGAAAAATAAATAATTGATAAGTCATATATATATATATATATATATATATAAATAATGTTCAATGATTTTATGATAGTTTAAAATTACATCACCCCTTTACTTACTACGAAATCGCAAGCTATAGTAGACTTATTAGCAGCTCATCCTGTACAAGATGATTATCTGATAAATGATAAACTACTAAACAAAAAATCATAAAACTGGAATCAAATGACAATATATACATATATATATATATACTTGATATGGTGGCACATAAATGTTAACATAGAAGTGCATTGCTTAGAATTTATCATACAAATGATTATGTGCATAATGATACTATAAATTACTTAAAAACATGATACACTTTTACTAACACAAAAAAATTTTAAACCTAATGGCATAATGACACCAATGACAATGCTATTATATAGTAAATCATGATTCTTATATTGTTCATGTTGTACGCTCAAATATATTGCCATTTATACTTTAACAAATAGAAGTTGCTTGCTAGAATCGAGTCTTTAAATTTTTATATAACAGGTTCTATCATGGCGCTCAGTGAATCATCATCATAGGAGAACTTTTCAACAATAGTATTGCATTCAATAGTTAATTTTATATTACAATTTTATTTATACATCTACATAGTTTGGATAGTTTTGCTTATATAGTTGTTACTTCCAATTTCTTTTTCATTAGTTGTTATTCTTTCTTCTTTGTTATACTATTATTCTGAATGCAATTAATGCAATAAAATATCATTTACCTTCCTTTGCTACTCTTATTGTTTCTAATTAGTTGTATACGAACTTTTCTTTTATAAGTACAAAATAGGTTTACAGAAAATATTAACTTTTGAAACATGTTTCAAGAGTTAAAGTCAAAAACTTTATCATGTTCTGTGTTGCTAGAGTGTACCGCCTTCTAAATCCGAGGTATAACATATATTATGTTATCAATGTAAAGAATCCGGAGCTTATTGAAATGTCATTGCTAGATGACAAAGAGAAACATAGAAGGGTTAAAGAAGAAGTCCAAAATCACCAAAAAGGAAGAGTTCAAGACAAACGATAATCAAAGAAAGTTGTAGTTCGCTTAATCCCTCTGTTATTATTCTCAAGAGTGGATTAAGTTGAAGGGGAGAGGCAATGACCCAAGCAGATCTTCTTAATTGACCATTAAGATAGAAGTAATTGGCCAAAGTAAGCAATGGCCAATCTGCTGGGGACCAAAACGCCATGCCCGGGAAATATTCTATTGATAAATCAAACCCATATAAGCTAGGTTTTATTTGAATTTTATGGTCCTATCCATTCCAAGATTTTAAGCTATAGAATTAATCTTTCTTTGCAATCTTGAATAAATCACCTATAGTTTAGAATATGCAGTTTAGGTTTTGAATTTTGAGATTTTTTTTTCTCCTTCATATTATAGTCTGTCAGGATTTTAAATTCTCCTTTGTATTATAAATAGGAGTCTTGGAAAAAATGCAAGGCAGAATTTTTCTATTTCCTCCTCCCTTTCCATGAAGCCTTACCCTCTCTCTGTCAATCTATGTTCTCGATAATAAAGGATTTCAATTCTCATTCATTTTATAAATAAGATCTATTAGAAACCTGCAAGGAAAAATTCTAGATTTTTTAGTTCTCAGTTTTCAAATTTCTACTCTCTCTCTCTCTCTCTCTCCACCCTAGGGTTCCACCTAAAATTAGCAGTTGGTTGCCCCTCTCACCGCTCTTTTTCTCTCATGACTCCATAAGAGTCCTCAGGTTTGGGGAGGCCACCAAGCAAACGGATTTCCCTTTAGAAAGTTCTTTTTGACTAAAATCTGCGTATAAGTAGTAATTTAATTGGCTGGACAACAAGTTGTAGCTGTTTTGAGAGGAATCTCAACAATTATGAAGAAGGAAAGAAGAGAAATCTCAATCAACCTGTTAAAGTGCTCTCTTAAAATCCTGCATAGTACTTTTGGATCATTAATATAATTTTAGGTTATTCTGATTCCTTGAATCTCAGATCAAAGCACACTAAGGCTTCGTTTGAGATGGCATTAAACCACTGTTTTTTTCCTACTTTCAAGAGATTTTTATTCTAAAAAAACAGCTTTACGAAGCAATAATAAAGCGATCCCAAACGATGCCTAATACTGCACATACAATGAGATGCAAGCACTACAATGATTCACACAACCGTTCTATTTTCAAATTATAATAATTTTAAATCCTAATTAGACTTTATTATCTCATGAAAGACGGCATATAATATATAACAAAAGTAGAATTGAAGTAAGAAATAAGAAAAAATAAATTATGGAACGAAGCTACAAAAATGTGACAAATTCAGAATTAAAAATTATAACTCATTAATAAATCATAAATACAACAGTTTGTGCACTTGAAGAAAATATTGGCAATTCTTTCACTGCATGGAAATAAATAACCTGATGTGTTAGATAGTGCTCAGGATGGTTGACGAGAAAAAAGTGTTCCACAAGTTCACTAATAGATTCATCCGGATCAGGTGGCACATTTCTTACAAGGACCTGTTTTAAAACTAAATATGTATTAGAAGCTGTTTCAGGAAAACTTGTCAAAAGAACTTCCATAAGAAAGAAGTGAAAAAAGCATGTCAAGAAAATATTTACTAAATTATCGAATGCTAAAGACGCCCTTCAGAAGAAATCAAAAGAACTTTAAATTTGTGTTCATATTTCTGGGATAAAAAACAGCACTATGAATGACATGGTTTATAATAACTCGAATGTATCATCAATAGTGTGAAGTTTTATGGAGGAAAAGAAAAAATAATATGGTGAACTGGTCTAGAAAGGCTCTTATATGCCGAAAAGAAAGAAACATTAAAAATAAAATGACAACATAATTTTAAGAAAGCATCCTAATGAGCTTACAGTGAACTGGTCAGGACGGCGTCTCTCTGATGCAAGAAAATGCAACCTCATTGATGCAACTTTTTCATATTCTTTTAACAACACAAAGCAAGTCCAAAAGGTAAAGGCATATGCCATCACCAAGTGGGTCCAAAATCTGCACCAAAATGAAAATTTTTCTCAAGCATAAAGCTCAAACTGAAAAGAAAACAGAAAATCAGGTGTCAGAAGTTCATGTAGGATCGTCCATGTGCAGCATAACTTTGTAATATTTACAATTGTAACGTCCAGTTTGGTACCAAACAAATCTTCTTTGTTCGATCATACACATCACCTATACAAACAGGCTGCTACTTTGAAGGGCAGAAGACTTGTTTGCATTAAGCTAGAAAAGAAAGAGTATAAAGGTTCTCTGCTTGAGCAGGTTACCAACCAAGTGTAAATAGAGGATAGTTTGTACACTAGATCTCATGAACTTTCACTAGAGTTTGAAGAGTTTATGATGTGATGTTTTATTATATTTTTACTCGATATGAGCTCCAAAATCGAACCAGCCAATCACAGTGAACACCATGCCATGTGAAATTGTTCCGACAATGCTCGTTTCACAAAACAAGTGCAACGTTGCATTCAGAATGGTGAAATTATAAGGAAAGGACCCCTGCAGTCAACTCAAAGGAACGGATAAAAAAATAACAAACTACAAACACGAAGTTCCATGAGATCACCTAAACATCGGCCATTTCCAAAATGAACCACGCTACTACATCACAAATATTGAAATTACCAAAAACGATCATTGCCTATTGATAACAGTAAATACAAGTGAAAGCAACAAATTGTGAGCATGATGTTGCGTCAAATCACTCGAGCCCATCAATTCGCATTCTCAGGCATCAAATTCAAGAATTTGTTGTATTTGAGTAGAGAACATGTGGTGGGTGAGTTCAATCTTGACAACTTGGAAAACCTTTTGAGTAATGTGCATGCATTTTGATGAACTTGCTGCCTAAACATTGTATACCTTGAATACTTTCAATAAATGTATTCTCGGTGCTTCTACACGATGCATTTATACACTCTTCGTTGCATTTGCACAATATATTTGCATGTTTATTTACTTTTAACATTTTTTTTGCATTCACATGATACACTTGCACATTGTTAAGTGCACTTGCACATCTTTGATGTCTTTGCATGATGCTTTTACAGGCCCTCAAAATAAGGGTGCACTTCTAGCATGAACTTCAAATTTTCTTGAGGTTGAAGCACACTGCCCAAGTAAATAACGTAGTTCTCTAAGTAATGACATAATTATTGAGAAAAGTATACTCTTCTCAAAGCAAGTACGCGCCTTCCGAGGAAACTGTACACTTGTCATGGCAATGGTTGGTTTCTTGAAGAGATGGCAAATTTCTCGAGAAAATTGCATGATTCTCAAGGTGGCATCATACTTCCCAAGAAATGTGTCATGTTTCTCGAGCTGGCGGCAAGCTTTCAAAGAAATAGCATTCTTCTTGAGATGGTGGCACGCTTCTCAAAGCATTGGCATGCTTCTTGGGCGGTAGATATAGATAGATTGTTGAGCACTATTTGTTGCTTTTCGCACGTAGATTGTTGTGCGCTAGCGAATCTCATGTTTTTATTTGTATATAATTGCATTCACCACAGACATGACCGCTTTGTTTGTGGTCAAGTTGCTTTGCATACAAATCCTCTAGCGTCGGCCATAGGCATTTATATTTGTGATAGGTCTTTTGCATTTTGCTTGCATTTGACACATTAGGTGTATAACGGGTCTCCTACGACATCTTACATGCACTTGCATTTGTCGCATATTCACCGCCTTTGCTTGTGGGAGAAATTAGCATATTCATCTGACACTGAACGGTGGTTGATGTACCTGCTTGTATGTTGATTTGCTTCGTAAGCAGATTAATGTATTTTTCTACAAGTTATTTGATGTTGACTGCATATCTACATTTGTAAAGGGCATGTTATCCGTCTCTACTTGTGAAAGGGCTATGTATTCAACTGACATTGAATAATTATTAGTTAAAAATATTGTTAAATCTTCTTGCAAGGTTAATTTGGATGCTTTTATCATTGGCATATGATTTGTAGTGCTTGTTGAGATATTCTTATGCATCTACTGGCAACTAGATCATATATTCTTGTTAATTATCATTGATCATTACTTGCTTTTCAACTGGTCACGAAACTCATTGATATCTTTTGGATGTCATGCATTATTTCTTGTAAGAGATTTCAATGTATTTGTTGCATATTGATCTTCTTTGCATGTAGACAATGTGCTATATTCATCATATATACTTGTAAGTAATGCATTTATCTAAAATCAATCAATTGCTTAGTTTTTATCCTTAATTGCAAGTGAATCATCTTGCATATGAATTGCAATATTTATTGAAGTATCTTTATGTTTTTATTTGAAACTAACTCACATATTACATGCATATTCATTTGCACTAAATTTAGAGCTTATTATCTTGTAAGTTATAACTTCATTTTAAGCATTATCATATTTCTTGTGCATGCTCAGATTCAAACTCAATTCGAATGAATTCTCTGTGGTCCAAATTTTGTTTAAATTAGGTCCTCTGTTTAATCGTTCAAAGAAGGTCCTCGATTTAATGCAAATTTTGGCAACCTCCCGACATCTCTCTCCTTCAAAAGAAATTACAAGAGTCTTGGTCTTCCCACCAAGCTAATAAAAGTGTGTATGGTAGATGTCTGTAGACATCGCGATCGTAGTCTTCATTCCCACTACGCCAATAAAGATATATATAGGGTCTTCGAGGGTATCTGTTTTACAAGACAGTTGACTTTCCCCTGCTCAAGAGTACTTACAAGTAACTCTGCCTCGTTGTAGGCATCATACCGAATTCCCACCTACCACGCTAATAAAAGCGTGTATAGGCGATTTTTCGGTACGCCGCGGACACTAAAATTGGGATTTTGATGATTACCCACTTTGTTGAAGCATCACGACGAACTTCCTCCCACCACACTAAAAAAAACTTGTATATGTGGTTGTCTTGTAGCGCTGCAAGCGTTGAAGATGGGCTCTCAAAGTTTTGAGTTTGGAGGGTTATACCTTTGCGATGTAGTAGCAACGGCTATAACGATGATTTACAATAATACACAAAAAACACCTCTTTTATTTCTTATTCTCCCCTCTTTTTTTTTACTTCATCATATATTTTCTTGAATTGTTTTCCTTCTCTCTCTCTCTTTTTCTGAAATACCCTCTTTTTCTCTTCTCTTTTTTTTTCTTTGTTTTTACATACATGTAAACATAAACAAATAAACACATGCACGCGCGCGCGCATATATATATATATATATATAATAAAAGGAGGGTCTAGAATTCTTTGTGCTAGTTCACTATTATGAAACTATGCCTAGTTTTTTTTATTTCTATGCCTCTAGCTATAAAGATCATAACTATTTTTGTTTAGCTAATAGCTATAAATGATAAGAAATGATACGTCATGGCTATTTATGCTATTAGATGGCCAGCTTGTATGCCTAGTACGTTGCTTTTGTTTTTACTTTGGCTAATAGCTAGAAATGATAAGTCATGGCTATTTATGCTATTAGATGGCTAGCTTGTATGCCTAGTATGTTGTTTTTGCCTAAGATGTAGAGTAAATAATTTTTTAATTTACTATTGATTGACTAATTCTCCAATTGCTTCGATTAGTTTCTGTTTTAACTGCCTAATTTCGGGACTTCGGTCTCTATTTCTTCGTTTAGATGTCTAAGCAAAATCGTGTCTACTTCACTATTCATTTCTTAGAGTTCTGCTATGATATCTAATGTCATTGGTAAAATTCTAATTTGTTGTCTTATTTCTACAGGTATGTCTTCTGGAAATGGATTAACCATTCTGAGTATTCTTGTTGATAATCAAGATATAAAGATATTTCTCCCTTATGTGAGATATACTTGTCTTAAAGTTATTGATTCCTCATCTTCCACTAAAAAAATAAAATAAAATATGGTTGTTATTAAATTATAATATATGAATGTTTTAGAACAGAAACGATTATAAATTGACATACACCGACGCTACAGCTTTTCCAAGAGCTCGGGAATTTTTTCACCCGCCCACAAACATTCAATAACATGGAGACTTATGGCATTCAAATTCGTGAGGTCATGCATAGCTGCACTGGATTATAGAGGTCAATAGTTATATTGTTCTCTTATAAAGAACTCATATATAATAATTATAAAACCAGATTTTAATTTGTTTTCATAGATGGAAGTTTGACATTAGCTAAAATTAAGACAGCATCTCCCTCGTTGGGGAGAAATAAGAAAAATTACTCACTCATGTGAGATTTACACATAAGATCTATAAACAAAAATAAACAAACTATTTTATTTATATAAAAAAAACTTACAAAATTGCAGAAGATTTTAGTTGACAAGAGAAGGGGAGCACACACTTTGTTACATATATTTCTTTCACACACCTTACATATTCCACACACTCTGCACACACTACTTCCTGAATGATACACTTATTTATAATAGCAAATAAACCATAAACTGTAGAGAAAACCATGGGCTGCAAAACCAGGGGAGCCCATGGTATTATAACAGTAATAAGTACATGGTATAGTACTTTTTGTACTTTTTACTATTTTTTATCTTATCCTTCCAGTGCATTTTCAATATTCATCAAACTTTCATCATCCATTCCATCCAGTCAGAATCTGTCAACATTATCTTCTTCTCCTGGAGTATTTCGTTCAGGAGTTACTTATTGATAAATAGTACAAAAATCTCCTTTGGGATTAACTAACTGAACATCAAATGTTTTTGAATGCTCAATTAAGTTTATATCTTTGACATAATATTGGAATTTAAACATAGGTCCTCTGATCAATTTATTATGCATAAATATCATCAAATTTTTATCTTGATAAGCCAGGTTCATATAAAATATTGGCTTTGAGAAACCACTTCCCATTTGAGCAATCTGGAATGCTCTGTAGTAATTTAATGTTTGATCAAAAATTTCTGGATCCATCATTTCATGAGGTGTGTCATCAGCTTGTTCTGCTTTAAAATCTTATGGTGTTTTGCAGATCTCGATTACATTCCTTGAACTATCCATAAGAT